AAAAAGGACATATATATTTTTGAATTATACTTAAATAAATTTAAAAGAAAACGTGGAAATAAAACCATTTTTAGTGAAGAGAAATCGATAAGTTATCTATATTATATTTGTTACACGGAAAAAAATTAATCTCTAAACTTGAAATAATATTAATTTGAAGTCCAATGAAATATAAATGTATCTAAATTAAACATTATAGTCACAATTACTGTGATAAGTTGTGTTTGATTCTGTCAAACTTTATACCAGAAAACGCCATAAATTCACATCTCTGATTTAGAGATTTGTTAATTTCACAACTTTTTTTATATGAATTAGGTACATTGTGTTTTAAGTTAATCAGTGACAAAAAAGATTTAAACCATTTTAATTAATTAAGTATTAATTTTATTTTTAAATATCCAAATAAAAGCGAAGGTCTGTGAAGGAAGGTCTGTAAAATTTGTAGGTTACAATTATCGCCCGACAAAATACGACACTGACTGATTTAAATGATGTGAAATAGGTAAATAAACATTTTTCAACCACTTTTTCTCTAAACACAGACACTTTTTACAAAATAGGCCAACATACAATGGGTAAGAATCTTCTTAATAACCTAAATTCAAAAGATTGTTTAAATTCATGCAGAAACGCGGTTGTCAAGCGGTTGTAAAATGTAAAATTGAAAATGATTGGAAAGTAATGTAATGACAGACAACAAGAAGCGGATTACTGCCAGTCGCCAGAAGAGGGCAGAAGCATGCAGAGAGCACAATGGTCCAGCTGTTATATTCTTAGCATTACATCACTTTCCAATTTCACATTTTACAACCGCGTTTCTGCATGAATTTAAACCATCTTTTGAATTTAGGTAATTAAGAAGATTCCTACTCGTTGTATGTTGGCCTATTTTGTAAATAGTGTCTGTGTTTAGAGAAAAAGTGGTTGAAAAATGTTTATTTACCTATTTCACGTCATTTAAATCAGTCAGTGTCGTATTTTGTCGGGCGATAATTGTAACCTACAAATTTTACAGACCTTCCAACGCCGTTAAAACAAAAAAATGAAATAAAAATATAAAATTCGTATTGTGTTTTGAAAATATTCAACTACTTTTTTATACTTGTCAATGTATAGTTCATACAGGGAAAACAATATAAATATTTTGTGAATAATTCTCACTTTAAATTGTGATAAATTATAAATTCTTATTACATCGAGTTATTACAAAAATAAGAATTATATAAATATACGACTAAAATTTTTAATATTGTTTATTCAAATAATATATTAGATTTGAATTTATTCAAGTAAGTTGATAGTTTAGAACATATGTTCCATATGTCATAAAATTTGAGATTCCTAATATCATTTTTAGGCATAAGAAATACGTGTTCTTCACAATACTAATATTCGGATTAGATATAATACCAAATTTCAGTTTTAGTGATCTGCTTACATCTTACGTCCGATTCCAGTGATAGGTTATGCCTAAATCTCAGATTTAATCTCTAATTTAGAGATTAATTTTTTTCCGTGCAATTTAATGATTTCTCTTTCTCACATTTAGCGAATGAAATTTGCAAAAATAGGTTATTTGCCAGGTGAACTTTAAAATAATTTTTTATTTAATATTTCTTAATAATAATTTGTTTCTATCAATTTATAATAATAAAATAATTCATTCATAATAAATTCTAATAATTTTTTTACGTTTTCATAGTAAATTAAGTGTTTTCTTTAATATTTTCTAATAGACAGTTTTTACGACTTTATATACTTTGGATGCTTATTTTACAATAAATATAAAAAATATTTAAAAAATTCTTTTTGTTCGATGATCCTAATATCTTTAAAATCATTCCTGCAAAATATTATAATTTTTTAAAATTAGTCGGCAAAGACTTTAGTCGAAATATAATGGAAAGACTCATATATATAATATTTATTATAGATTGTAATTTATAATTTAATTTAAATAATCATAAATTACTAAATGTTTTGAAATTACTACAAAAAATTTTTACTTAAAAAAATAAAACTTTACTGTAGAACGTTATTTTAATTTATTTATCCAAAGTTGATAATAAAGGCAGAAAAATATTTGACTTTATAATTTTTTAATATTCGCGGTCTCACCGATGCGCATGTGCGCAGGGTGCGCAGCCAATTTTCCCAATATGGCCGAAAATGTGCTGCTTTACCTCCGAGTACGGTGTGGACTCGGTGGAGAGGCGGCTTGTTACTTATGTTTCAGATAGATCATGGCTGTATGTACAAGGCTTTAGTCCACAGTACGTTGCCAATGTGTCGTGAGTTGTGTTCAACCCATGACTATAATAAGAAGAAGAAGAAGAAGGCCGAAAATGTACTTGTTGATGTCCGTCTCGAGTCACATGACGTCCAGTTTCGCTCTGAGCATGTGTTTTTATCGTTGGGTGAATGTCGTGATTGTTTGCTATTTATAAAAAATGCGTGTGCGAATAACAGTTTTGTTTCTTTTATGTTTTATAAATATTTGTTTTGGTTTAAACTCGTTTTTAAATTGAAAAATTAAAAAATATAACGGTCATATCGAACAAGAGCATTTAAAGTTGATTTGCTGCGAATAGAAAGGCTCTTAGACGCTGTCCAAATTGTTAATTTATTATATTATACAGTTGACTTTTGTTGAAAAGTTTATATTTATTACGAATTATTATCTCAGCTAATGTTTATTATAGGTTATTTAGGAGGTTATGTATGTTCAAGACTAAAGAGATAAATGTTCAGTATTAATGCCAAATAAAAAATTTTGATGATATATTTTTAAATTTAACCTTAGCTTTTTGTATTTAATTTTTTACAATATATTTATCATAAATAATCCTTAAAAAACGCACGAGAGTCGCATTTCACTCTCATGCATCATGCACCTTTATGACATGCGAACGTAATGCGTCTCATATGAGGACGCATCTGTCTGCATCAGTGAAGGCACGAGTGACGGTTGGGCCGACCATCAAAAAGTAGGTTTTTCAACTTTGGCGGCCAAAGTTCACTCGACCGTTGGTCCAACTGTGGCTGACGGTTGGGCCGACCATCAAAAAGTAGGTTTTTCAACTTTAGCGGCCACAGTTCACCCGATCGTTGGCCCAACTGTGGCCGACAGTGTGGCGGATAATCAGTTCCCAGGTTTAAATCCCCGTACAGGATCCTTAAAGGATCCTCTCGGGATCTTGTGCAGGTCCTGTGCAGGATCCCCACCGGATCCCGTGTACCCGTCCTGTACAGGATCCCGACCGGATCCCGTGCAGGAAATTGGAACAGGGTTCCTGTGCAGGTTCCGATGCAGGAACCTTAGCTATCAAAGGTTCCTATAAAGGTTCCTGTACAGAAACACTTGCAGGATCATGTACAGGAAACTTTTTAATTTTTTTAATTTTTATATGTTAAGCAACATTTGACATACATAGACTTCATATTTCAATACGTTAGGCTCGTATAACAATGTTGGACAGAAAAATGTATTGCGCATTCGAGAAACTCATAGAAAACTACTGCGCAGGAGTTAAAAATATAAATAAATTAATTGAGGAAACTGTGTAGGATCCTTTACGGGTTCCTTACGGGATCCTTTATACTTAAGTACCTGCAGTTTACAAAACTGCAAAGGTTCCTGTACATGATCCTGCAAGTGTTCCTGTACAGGAACCTTTACATGAACCTTTGATAGCTAAGGTTCCTGCATCGGAACCTGCACAGGAACCTTGTCCCAATTTCCTGCACGGGATCCTGTACGGGGATTTTAACCTGGGTTCTCACGGTCGGCATTCATAGTTGGCCCGACTTTGGAAGAAACTTTCAACCAAAGTCGGGCCACCTTTGGGTGCCGAAACTTTGGCTGCCACAGTTGGCCCGACGTCCCAACTGTGGCGGCCGACCGAAATTCGCACCTGAGCATTCACAAAACCCGTAATATTAAAAATAGCGCAATTCCATTAACACCATCCTCTTCAGCACTAAATTTTCCATTGTAAATCACTTTACAAGAATTTCATTCGTGTAACTTTATTAACTAAAATCACAAAAATAACTCTTAGAAAAGTTACATCCAAAAAGTCTGTTTTCATAAATGATATTGTCATTGCTAAACTGCTGCAGCAATAATGTCCATCTGTTAGCAACTAAAGTAACGTAGCATAAGCAGTCTACATTATCAATAGCGCACGATTTGAAAAAATTATGCAGAAATAAGAAGCAATTGGCTGCCTCACCCCGTTCTACTCTACCAATAATGACATACAATAATTAAAAAAATATTTTCCATAATTAATTCTTGAAAAATTTACTTTGGACGAACAAAAGAAAAAAAAAATTGGATGATCAAACTTGAAAATATTATTAAATAATGAAGGTGGCCCACAATTCCCCAATCTCCCCTATATAGAAAATAGAAGTTGATCGAATAGCCGTAGTCGTTAAAGCGTCTTAAATTGGGTTCTGCGTTTGGGGTTCGATCCTCAATAGGGTTCAAAATTTATTTCAACTTTTAGAACGTAGACAATCAAATTATGAATAAATTGTAAAGCATATAATAACAAATGAGATAATAAATAATAAACATATAAATATAAAAAAGTGTAAATAAATATAATCAAACAAAAATTAAAGTAAACAAAAAAAATATCGAAATTATAAATAGATGTGAATAAATATAAACAAATGTAAATGAAAATAAGAATAAAATACATTTTACTGGGAGAAAATAACGCGATCTCCGACGAAATATACAATATGAATAAAGATATCCTTCTACTCGGGAATAAATGATTGACCCATAAAAAAAGAAGAAAAAAAAGTGATGCGAGAAGGCAGGTCAATAAACGGATTTCTTTTTTCAGTAAAACCAGCCCCGGCTGTCAATTATTTTATTTTTAAATGGCTGCACAATTCAACGTGAACGCCTAATGCGTTTAAAGAGACCGGGACAGCACAAATACGGCTTCCATTGGAGTAGATGCAGTCGAGCACCTGCCTCTACCTCGGTCGGAACACTTCACTAAACTTAGTTACCAAATCATAATCACAGTATATATCCTGATGCTGAATATGACCATCACACAATATCAAGATCAATATTCAGACAATACGATCATTCAATCATCATTCTTCTTCTTCTCAATAAATTTGACAATAAAATTTTAAAAAGAAAATCATGTAACAATTAAATAATTTTGTTAATCAGTAAAAAAATTCATTAAATAATTGTAAACAATAAATTAATACAACTAAATAATAAAATTAATTAAATTAAATAATAAAATTAATACAACTAACTAATAAAAATAATGTAATTAAATAATACAATTTAATAAAAAAAATTATCTATAAATAAAAAAAATGGTAAATTTCAATAAAAATCGATAATATTGAACAAGAAAATAATAACAATTCATATATATTAAATAATAATATAATAATAATTCATTTTAATCAACAATAGTGAATGACAAAATTTAAAAATATTATCAACCATCATCTGTGAAGTAAATTCTATTCTGATTTTAAAAAAATGATTAATAGAAACTAAAAGATATTTCAGTACACAATTCTGCACTTGTATTTCGTAAAAATACTTTTAAAAAATGTTTATAAACAAAATAAATTTTAAAAATAACTTAAAAATTTGATTTTTTTTAAATCATTTTAGATGGAAATAATATTTCAACAAACAAAAAATGAACAACAGTTGTTATAATATTACATTAAGTGATTGTGTGCCTAACAGTGAATTTCTTTTCTTTCAAGGAAAAAAGTAGTAATGGTAAAGGCTTAAGTCAGCCCCAAGTAAATTGTGTATAAAGTGTGTTTGAAGTGAAACGTATATATGCCTGTGTTTATATCGACCAAACATGAAAATGGTTGATAAAAAAACAATTTTTTCCTTTCAAATTAGTAAAATTTTTTCAAAATATATTAGAAAATTTGTTAAATTATTAATGAAAAAAACACCAATTCTTTTTCTCTAAAAAAAAGAAAAATGGAAAATTATTTACAAAACATGATTGTTCTAATTTTTCTGATCTTGAATAGTTTATATGGCTTCTCGGCCATTGAGAATGTCACGTGTTTAAAGAAAAACACGTTTCTGGAAACGAAGGGCAATGCAGTAATCTCTGGTAAGAATTAATTGAATTTTTTTTCCTCCTCGATTTAATCTCAATTTTTCTAATTTAATTCCAATCTAATTTAATTTTTTTTTTTTTTTTTTTTTTTTTTTTTATAACTCAAACAAAACAAATATAATAATAATAATAATTATTATTATTAACATTATTATTATTTATAATAATTGTCGTTCTGTCATTCATTCATTCATTCTATCCACACCTTTTGATAGTTGAAATTTAATGATTATTAAATAATTTTTTTACAAATTTGAATATTTTTCCTTCAAAGACAAGACTATTTTTAAAAATTGAAATTATTTCTTTGAAATATAAAATTGTTTGAAAAATTTTCAATTCATTATGTTTTCGGAAATTCCGAGGGAAATTCAAATTTTTTTATAGAATTCGATTATTTAAAAAAAAAATTTCATTTAAAATACGTTCATAATTAAATTGTTTCCCATTAAATTTTATGATATTTTGATGATACATAATATGAAGCTCATGAGTTTCATATGTTAAATTAAATCTGTTTAATATTTTCAAACGTTGCTGAACACTAAAATCCATAATTTTTTTATAAATATATATGAAATTAAAAATTCTGAAGAACTTAGTTTTTTGAAAAATTTTGATTCAAATTCTTTAGAATTTAGAATTCTCTTGAATAAGCTCATGAGTTTCATATGTATTGACAGCACAGCTGCCCTAATATCCCACCATGCTACCGTTTTTTTCTGAGTTCTTTGATAATTTTGAAATTATTAATTAATTTCGAAAAATATTTTTCAGAATAAGCAGGTTTTTGTATTAGGGCAGCTGTGCTGTCGATACATATGAAACTCATGAGCTTATTCAAGAGAATTCTAAATTCTAAAGAATTTGAATCAAAATTTTTCAAAAAACTAAGTTCTTCAGAATTTTTAATTTCATATATATTTATAAAAAAAATTATGGATTTTAGTGTTCAGCAACGTTTGAAAATATTAAACAGATTTAATTCTTCTTAAATTTTCTTTGCTTCACTCATAAACTTTAAAATCACCACCATAATTTTAATACAAAACTTTAAAAGCTTTTTCTGTTTCTAACAATAATAATTGAAGTTTACAGAATCGTGTTAAATGGCTTGAATTTTTTTGAACATATAAATTGAAAGCTTTTGGAATAATTGAAATTTAGTAAAATCAAATTGTAAACAAATGGATTTCAGAATTATTTTAGATGAATTTTCGTTTTTTGTTTAAATAATTGAATTTTTATTACCCTAAAGTTCTGAACGTTTAAATGAATAAACTTTATTTATTTCTTCATTAAATTAAATTTTTTTTACAATAATTTTGCATCATAGTCTAAATTATTTGCATCAATTTGCCAAATTTGTCATGAAAAAATAATTGATTTAGAGAACAATTTTAGTTAAATATTTTTAAAATATTTGAAATTTATAAGAGATATATACGTTTAGAAATTTTATAAGTAATTGAATTTTAAAAAGGTTTAAATTTGAAATTTTAGAAAATAAAAATTTAAAACAATTGGGTATAATTTAAATTTCTGAGGAAGTCTATTTTTTGTAAAATTTTTATTTAATATTTTTTTTAAATTGTTTGAAATTTAGGTACCTACCTAAATTGTATTCTAGGAAATAATTAAATTGAAATATTGAAAATACTTTTGAAAAAGTTACAGTAGTGTTAATAGAAAATAATAGAATAAAAAAAAGTCAAAATTTTGTCTGGAAATCAGGCAAAAACATTATTAACATTAATTTTATTATTTAATATTTAAGACTGCTAGTCTGTTAATATTTTTTTTAGCTACAATAATTATTAATTATTAGAATATTATAAGAATAATAATGCACTAATCAAAAAAGTAATAAAAATATATTGTTTTCGGTTATTTTTAATTACATTTTGTTACATTTATTTATAATATTTTACATTTTGCTTTTTATAGTTATAAAATTATTTATAAGTTACAAAAATATTTATTTATACTAAAGAGTAAATTGCTCTTTCAGTTTTCGTGGACGCTAATTACGGGCCACAATGCAATGATTCGTCAATAAAAGGTCATCAACAGGTTTCGACAGCTCTCAAAGTAATTGAGACATTAAATAAAAATTCATTTGTACCAGGAATGACAATAGGTATGAAAAAATTTTGATTCTTTAATAATTTGTAGGTATTTGTATTTTGACATTATAAATTCTCATTACAAATTAGAGTAAATTTGACGGTCTTTGGTGTTTTGTAATAGAAAATAAGTTAATTATTGTAAAAATTATGAGTTTTTGAAAGTGGTTTCAAATTTAAAAGTAAGGAATCGATCGAAACATTTGATTCGAAAAGTTAAAGGGTTAAGAAAAAGATTAATAATTCAATGATAATTGAAAAAATAAATGAAATGAAAAAGTAACTTTTAACTGAATAATAGTTTTATATTAATTTTCTTCTTCATTTTATTAATGCGATGTTTGAAAATATTTAATGAAAAAAAATTACGTTCATTTGAACGTTTATGTAAGTTTAAAACTTTAGTAAGAATGAAATAAAATTAAAAAAAATTAATTATCTTGTATGTATGTAATTACCATTTCATGTAATTATTTTCAGGTGTTAATTTTTACGATACCTGTGAGGACAAAATGCACGTTTACAAGCAAATTTTAACAATAGGAGCGAATTCCGAATGCACATTAGAATACAATATGGGAATATTAATAGCCGACAATTATAAAACAACATTGGAGCCATTTAAGCAATATGGTCTTTTGCCAATAATTAATTACAAAATGGAAAATTTAACAAATCCTCTAATTGATATTTTGGTACATTTTTTAACGACAAAATATGAGACTATTGATTTAGTGTTGGCAACATCGCCCTATGTTCTTGGACGATTTTTAGATGTCAGCAAGGACAATGGACTGTGTGTCAAGAGTTACTTAGGTTTTAGTGAAATGGGAAACAGTACAACAGAACGTGTCATTGTTGCTCTCGGCGGTAAGGAGGAGATTCAATCATGGATTTCGCAGAGTGACAACGAGAGGAATGGTGTTCGAGAAACATGGATCGTTTTACCAATTGATGATTCCATTTTGGATGGTAATTTATTTCTTCTTTTTTTGGTGAATTGAATTTTTCTATTTTTCTGTTTGCGATATTCATTATTTATTTATTAATATTTAATTCAGTAACAGATGTAATTTATTTTTGGATTATTTAATAATCTAATTAATTAATTTAATAATCTAATAATTTGGAATTATTAGCATTGTGAAGCTTTTTGTTCATATACGAAAGGGGCCGTCCATAAATTACGTAACACATTTAGGGGGGAGGGGGGGTTCGAGAAAAATTATCAGAAATTATCATATGTTACATGGGAGGGGGGGGGTCAATCATCATTGTTACGTAATATTTATAAGGAACTTAATCTCTTTATAATCGATAAATTTTTCAAAAGCTGTCCCTTGCCGCCACTTCAATACAAGTAAAAAAAATATAAATATTAATAAAATTATTCCTCTAAATGTTTTTATATTTAATTTAATTTTGTATTGCTATTGTACGATATAAATACTAAAAATAACAGTAATAAACAAATTTGTTTCGAAAAACGTTAGTAAAAAAAATATTTTTAAAAATTACGTAACAATGATAGAGGGGGGGGGGGTAAAACGATTTTGTTACAACCTGTTACATAGGGGGAGGGGGGGTTCAAAATTTCACTAAAAACGTGTTACGTAATTTATGGACGGCCCCAAACCTATGTTGTTAAAATTTTTCAGGGTAGGGGAGAGTGGGGCAAGACGGGGCAGCGGGTAAGACGGGGTACCGGCCCTATTTAACAAACGAATTAACTAATCGCGATTATATTTTACATAGTACTGCACCGAGACGATAGTTTCTTGTTTATAAAACCTAAAAGCCATGAGAACAAATCTTTTATCTGTTTTACTAAAAAAACTGTTTTCGACGATTTTCTTGTCATTTTTTCACTTTTTTTAGGAGGCGTTTATTATTTAATAATAACAGTTAATGAACTGTATAAATTTTTTTCTAACTGTCAAGGGTTACAGAAGAAGGGAAGCATATGTTTTTTTTTCTTTGTTGAATCGTAAATTGTAGTAATTAATCGTTTTATTCAATTTCGTAGGTGCGAGCAAGATGGGGCAAGACGGGGTTCACAAATTAAGCAAAAAAAAAGAGAAATAAGAGAAGTTAAGAAAACTACTTAAATCAAGACTGAATAAAATAAAAGTGGCCAAAAAGAAAAAAGTTTGTCAGGTTAAATCATCAATTAGCGATGGTAAAGTGGAAAATACACCTTGACTCTATTGCAATGGTTATTATTTAGACTCAAATGAAGGCTGGGCTGCTTGTTCTGTCTGCGGCCAATGGGCTTTGAGCAGTTGTGCTGGTGTCGATGTCAAAGATAAAAATGCAACCTTTACTTGTAAAATTTGTTGACAGAAATAGTTTGTTTTTTTTAGTACCCCATCTTACCCGCCGGTGGGGCAAGATGGGGAGATTTGCAATTTTTTCAATATTATTAATTATAAGCTTTTTTAAGAAACAGATGGCCTTTGTACGCCTTTTTTACGAAAGACTGATTCCCAAAGATGATAATTAAAAAAAATAATAAAGTATATATTCGATAATTTTCGTTTTTTTGCGCTTTAAACCTTAAGTACCCCGTCTTGCCCCACTCTCCCCTACTTTATGAAACTTGAAATATTTGAAAAAAAGGTTTGATTCTTTTAGTGGGTCGCATTAATCTCAACTAAAAAAACAACCGAATTCTTATTTAACAGAATTCAAATTTAATAAAATAGTTAAGTAATTGTTTTGACGCTCAACAGAATTATTATATTGACAACCCGACTTTATAACAGAATTGTCCTTTAACATACCTGACATGCAACAGGAGGTCGATTATGTATATTTTGACTTTGATTTCCAATTGACTTTGACGTCAAATTCATTTTAATTTTAAATTTGAATTGACTTTGCCGCCAAATTTATTTAGATTCATTTAGATTTTTGTTGCATTTCGAATTGAGTAGCGTAGGCTACTCAATTTGAGCCTAGGTTTTTTCAGTGCAAATTCATTATGAAGTCAATTCTGTATTTCAATATCAAGATAAATTTGGTGCCAAAGTTAATTACTTGTTCATAAAATTGCAATCACCTTCAACTCAATTATAAAAAAATGAATTGAAATAAAATGAAAACCAAATTTTTCATAATTTTAAATAAAATTTTTCGAAACTCCTATATACTGAAAAAACGTAATTTAAAACATTTTAAAATTTAATAATTAATAAAAACTGTAATTGTCACTCTTTTGTAGTTAAATTATTTTAAATACAATTTAGAATATTTAATGCTGATTTTTACACTAACAAACATATGAAAATATTTAATTGTGATTTCTTAAAAGTCAATTCAATAATTTTTAAATCATTAAATAATAAAATTCTTCGAAATTTCGTTTTTGTTCTAAATCTCTAGTGAAACTTTTCAACAAATTGTATTATATATTTATATTAAAATCAAATTTTACAAAATTCCAATTATTTTGATAATTTTAATAAAACTTTTTAACCGTTCCCAGTCTGGTGAAAAAATTACTTTTGGATTTTTCAGAATTTTAAATAAAATTATTTAAAACTTGAATTATTTTTTAATAATACCTAAAATTAATTATTGTTAATTACCTATATTAATATTAATTAATAATTGAATTAATTATTAATTTCTTCACAGCAATTACTAATTATGTGAAAAACTTAAGGGTTTGCTTTTAAATTCATTGCAACTCAAAAGTATTTAAGATGAAAAGAAAATTCAAAAAGAGAAATTAATTCTTTTGTTTTTCAAAAATATTTTTGAACACCAAAAAGCAGAATTTTCGTAGTAATTCTAGAAGTTTACTATTTTTCGAATACTTTTGATAAAATTACCTGAGTTTTCCCTGACCAATTTCACTTTCCCTGACTTTTCCTTGAATTCTCTGATTTCCCTGACTTGTGGCAACACTGGTCATGTAGGTAAATTGTGTCAGAAGATAATTCCGTTCATGTCCGTTTTGCTGAATAAAAATTATGTTGCTTTTCAGTGTGTTCCCAGAGGTCTATTAATTAACAATTATCTTTTTTGTCAGACTATTAAATTAAAATATCAATTCTGTTGCGTGTCAGGTATATTAAATGAATATTCTGTTATAAAGCAGTTGTGTTGAACATTAATTTTGCTACATGTCAGTTGTCTAAATTATAATTCTGCCGTATTAAGGAAAACCTTAGGTAAATGACATTTTGACGAAAAATGAGTTTTTGGTATTAATGGACTCGTAGAAAAAACTACATCTGATAGTTATAGTTGAAATTTCAAAAAAATGTTGTAAAAATTATTATTAAAAATTACCCAGATGCGATGTTAGATTAGATAGTTTTTTAAATTTTAATAAGGGTTCTGAGTGGAAGCAGTTTTTCCTCTTTTTCTCAGTTCGACATAAATGTCGTTTATCTAAGTTTTTATTTAGTATATATATGTACATCAGAATTTTGTTGAGTGCACGGCTAAAATTTTGGTGCATCAGACGTTCCAACCAGTTGCCCAACAACTTGGAACAGCAAGAGTACTGGTTTACTAAATTTTTTTCAGTATATAAAGTCAGATACATGACTATTCTATTAAATTTTAATTCTGTTTTATGCTTTACCGTTGAATGACAGTTCGGATATTTGTCAGTTGAGGAATATTCATACGTCCCCTTGTGAACTATAAGGACCAATAATCATTCTAAGCATATCTTCTCGCGATTTCTACCCGACTCGGTATAACTTTCTTTTTGTAATCAAAAAAATATATTTTTGTTCAAGATGTACTGCCGGAGGGATCCTTTGTGATAAATACAGAAGCATTTACATCGAGTCAACAAGGAGCATCTTCATCTTCTCATTTAGGAGGCACTACTAGCAAGTCACTAATTCACTCACCTTACCTCTTGAGTATCGGAAAGGCCATTATCGAGGTCGCCCACGTTCTCCAAAGGCTTCGTGAAGCATCTTGTCCTCCTCCTCCTCCGTCGTCTACTTCTTCTTCATCTTCTCATGGAAACCATTGCACATTACCACGTTTTGACCCCAATACACGAGAGGATTTGAGTAATACCGAAACTTACGATATTCTCCAAATCCCACATAAATCACAATATCTCAAGTACATCATTCAACAGAACATCAATCACGAATATTTTCCAATAGCAACATACAGAATTAATTCAGAATCGCATAAAATTCAACCACAAAAAATATTAACAAAATTAACGAGATTATGCACAAAACAGGACTCTGTTAATTGTCAAAAATGTGCAAATTTTCAAGAGAGAAGTGCTCATGGTTTAGTTAAAATTGGCATCGATGGAAGTATTCTAAAATCGGGTGTTTGGATTCCGATTTATTTGACCATAATGGTCAGTGGGACGTTTGCTTGTATTGTTATTTTTCTCTTCATTTTGTACCGTTATTTTGTTGACGAATCACTCGATGGTAATCCATTCTTGACACTAATATTGATACTCGGTACGATATTTATGCTGCAGACGATTTTACCATTTTGTATGGATGACGAATACATGGGAGCTGTTCATTTGAATTCGAGAAAAATTTTCATCTCAACTTTAGCATTTGGTTTGATTTTCTCCATTATGTTGTCCAGGGCTTTTTTTCTTGCCTTCTCGGTTGGTGGAATTTTCACTGTTCACATCAATGGTTATCTTCAAAGTTTGATGGTGTTTTTTATGTTCGGTGTACAGGTGGTTATTTCCACTATGTACTTTGCTCTGGGTGCTAACGATCCTTCGGAGGTTTTAAGAAGTCCCAGCTTCATTGGACTTTTAGGTTTGTAGCATTTTTAGTACAGTATTTAAACATACAGTAATATTTTCTTAATTCTTTATTGACTCTCTTTTGTTTCTCTAAGTTCTTTATTGATTACTTTTCCAATGGCAAAAACCATGCACTGTAAAAAAAGGGAGTTAAATTTTAACTCCCCAGGGGATTCTATAAAAGTCGCACCCATTGGAGAGTTAATGCCAGGGGAGTTAAATAAAGAGAGTTAAAACTTCACACCCAAATGCTAACTCCCCAAGGAAAAAATAACTCGCGCGGTGTTGAATGAAGGGAGTTAGAAATTAACTCTCTTTTGGAGTTGATTTTTAACTCGAAAAATTTCACTCCTAACTCCCGAGTCCGTTAACTCCCTAAATTTTTTACAGTGTGGTTGTTCCAAAAACGATCTTTTTTGTTTCATATCTGCCAAAAGTAGAACGTTTCATGGCAGCCAAAAAATGTTCTAGAATATTTTTTAAAAATCTATGTTCTTCAAAATGTTTTGGAACGTTATTTGATAATAACGGATATGAAACGTTCTAAGAAAGTTTTTGGAACGAACATGGTTTTTTTGACCACCGGGTACATATGACATTATTCCAACAATATTGCTTAAATATTTCTAGAATTACAACGAAAAAAATATGTTCCTGGGTGGCAATAATAATGGTACCGGTAAAATGATAGCATTTATGATAATATAATGATAGTACCATATAGCATTTTGTAACATCTTTTTCTCGTAATCCATTTTACTCATAGAGTCAATTAACATCAACTTAAAGATTAATAAAGTTAATAAACCCCCGGAAATATTAACAATCCTGCTGCAATTTTAGAACTTTATTAAAAATCTCAATCATTAGCAACTGGAAATACTGCTAATTAAACATTTATTCCCAACAACTACATTTAATTTTGTTTCTCTTTTTTTCAGGTTACGATATATTTCTTTTGGCATGCCTCCTTATTGTAAGTTGTTTTATAACCCAAATACAACGAAACTACAATGAGGGTAAATGCTTTTTTGCAACGGTAATTGGTATTCTCATTGTGTGGACAATTTGGGTGACTTGTTTCATTCTAATGGATGCATCCGTAAGGGATATTATTGTCTGCTTTGGAATTATTGCAACTGCTTATCTAATTATCATTGGTATTCTTATACCAAGAACCTATTACATGGTGACACATTCATCGAGGGATAAGAATTTTGGACCAAGATTCGATCCTACTGATCTTGGACCGGATCCAAGAATGAATACTATGGCTCGACAGGTAATGTTCCAGTTTTCATCTGTATTTGTTTGTTTGTATATATATAAATAGAGATAATTTCCTTCACAAAAGGTCACTTTAGAAAATGTAAAAAATATTCCTTTTAAAGAAGCTGGAAATTTCATTTATTTTTAGAAATTCTATTCTAAACTCAGTCAGTACAAAAATTTGTTCAATTGGCTTAAAAATTATTACTCGTGATTTTTTGGGATCGCAGAATACGAATTTGTTAGTGGTTTTTCAAAATTAAAGATAGGGCACGCAATAGGAACGGACTAATCTTTTACATTTTTTTAATTCGTTAAATTCGCGTAAGACTTGTTAATCAGGAGTTTTTGAATTTTTTTTATTATAAATCAGATAGAGGTTTTACAAAATTCAAAATTTATAATTGAATATAACAATTTAATTTTTTAGATAGGTACTTCATTTTGTCCAGGAGATATTACTTTATTATTTTTCTTCTAAAGTCATGTTTGTGGTCTATTATTATAAATATAAATACATACTTCCATTAATAACCATATGTTTGAAAAGAAGTAAAAATATAAATTTTCAACCACTGACATTCCACCAAGAGAGAAATTTCAAATATTTCCAAGCGTACTTGGGAAAATTGAGTACAAGGGGAAAAATAAATTTCTCTACAACTTTGGGGTTATAGAATGGAATTTTATTAAACTTTCTACTATATACCTCAAAATGTTGAACGTACAGTTTTTTGCTTCTTTTAAAAAAGAAGAAACCATTGTATATAAAGAATTTCTCACTGTTAAAAAATCTTTTCTCTGTGGATTATTAATATAAGTTTCATAATACGAATTCTAAGAGGGAGAGCGGGAGAAGGGTCAATATTTCATATTTCAAAAACGAAAAAAAAATTTCTTTAAAGTTAAAATTTCTCCATTTCACATTATTTTTCGTGTCCGTCTTTGTTTCTCAAAGAGTAAATATAGTCTAGTGTTAAAATACCTTTTTCCGCCTGCTTTTTCACACTTTTGCAATCTCAGTGTTATAATGTTCTTTTCTCTTTATTGTATTATATCATCTTTAATGACGAGACAGAAAGTGCTCAATCGCCAAAATCCTCTTTTCAGTCTCAAAAGTCTATGTATGAACTTCAAAGCGTATAGAAAATAAGACATTCACTTTCACAAAATAATAATGACATTAACCCCATTTTCAAAAGATTGTAATATTTAATCATTACCAAACCAGCAACATCTTTCATATGAAATTTAATTATCCTGCGAGATTTATCAATTAATCATTTCCATGTCAAGGGGATTTAATTACAGGGTGTATTTATAAGACAATAATTAAGTACTAAAAGATAAATGTTTTATTCAAATCACAACTCCAATTAAAATTCGCTTTAAAGAATGAATTCTCATGACTTGTTACAATAAGAAACCTGCCTACTTGTATCAAACATATTTTGTTTAAATCAAACTTAGTAGCTGTAATAATAAATAAATAGAAAGAGATCGAGAGAAATGAATTAACAACCGAACATTCTGTTATTCATCAATTCTAAAGAAAACGAGATCGATAACCGAAAACAATCAGAATACAAAAGTTATTAGTTGACAGTCAAAAATAATTGGAAGCTCAACTTAACACTCAAATAATTTTACAAAATTTTAATGTTCTTGACTAATTCAGTCCCGATTTTGGATAATAGTAGATAATTGATTAGTAAATTAATTAAAATGACGATTTATCCAAAACAAAAATATTTTATTTTGACAAAATAAATCTGTATTCAAATTTAAAGAATAATATATTCTTAAACAAATTTTTAAGGTTAATTGTCAGTATAAGATTTGTTAAATTATTTGTTATTATTAAATTCCATAAAATTACGAACTTAGATCAAAATAAATAATTTGAGACAATTAAATCAATAAAATTTAGTTTAAAAAAATTATTATTTAACTAGAGAATTATTAGATAAAGAATCAATCAATTAAAAGATGAGTTACGAAAAAATTAAGTTAGAAGAAAAAAATTCAGTATGCTAAATTCTTCAAATAAAAATCATGTGAAATTAACCCGAGTCGAAATTTAAACCCTACTTAGCCTCTGAAAATGTAGGGCTTATTTAGGTTTAGCAGTCGTAAAGTAGGGTCTGATTACAATACAATTTTTTAAAATTAGACCCTCCTTTGACTCCCAAAACAGGCTGAAATTTGCCAATCTTCCATTTGGAGAAGTAAAGGTGGGTCTAATTCGAGGAAACCTATACCTTACTTTTAAACCTCGTAGACCCTACAATTAGAAAAAGAAAAATTTGAAGATTTTCTCAGATTCAATTGAAGCACTTGGGATGAGTAAGAGTGGTACACATCAGTATTTATCAATTTGGAGTAGGGGAGGGTGGTCCCATACCGACCCCCTAAAGTGCAAAGGCTAAAAATGTGCCAAAAATGTGTTTCTTTGTCTTCGTCAAAATTTTTTTGAGTAAAGGAACTATTCTTTAATGTTTTCTGACGGTTGCCGAGGTTTCTGATTGTCATTAATAAAAGATCTAAAGAAAAAGCGAAAATTTACGTTTTTAACTTTTTCAAAATGGGTGGTCCGAAACCGACCCCCCATTTTTTTGGGGAAAATCTGAAGAATAATCAAGATATAAAATTTTGATAGTAATTAAAATAAAATTCAACAGTCTGTAATGAACTGTTAAATTATTTTGACTTCATTTAAATACATTTTTGGACCTTTTTCCAAAAGAGTTAAAGTTAAGTAATAAATGCTGTGATTGTTGGTAAAATATTTTCTAAATTCCTAAAAAATAAAAGTAAATATGCAAAACCTATCCTCACTTCATGTGAACAATAAGGAAGAAGAGAATAAACAATTACAATGTAAAAATATGGGGGTCGGATTGGGACTACCCCTTGGGGGTCGGTTTCGGACCACCCCCACTATTTTCACAAAATGTTTTGCCAATCACTTATATCAATGGAATCAATTTAATTTGAATGTTGTGCGTTGAAGTTAAGGTCATACACAATCAAAATTAATTTCGTAAAAATTTTCCTGTACTCAAAAAACACTGTTAGCTCAAATTCCGTATAGGTCAAAAATTAATTTAAACAATGCTAAAATCTAATATTGCTTGAATCTTCAAAATGAAATCAAATGCATTAATAAAACCTGTGGCCCAGTTGTTGGTGTTGTGAAAGTGTTCGACTGATGGTACTGACGAATTTTTTAGTGGTACCATCTTCAAGAAACATAAGGGGGTCGGTATGGGACCACTCTCCCTTACTTTTTGCATTTGCAGTGTTTTAAGTAATGCATAATTAAAAAATAATTCAAAATTTTCTTTTAGAATGTAGGGTCTAGGAGTATGAAAGTAGGGTTTCTAATAGCTTAATTCTTTAAGAACTATCATAAAATTATTACTTTTAAAATATTTAAGGACAGGTGGGAAATATTCATCGAAAAAAGTGTTTTCCCGCGTGTCATCTCACTCCTAAATAACTAGAGATATCTCGTTCGGATTTATCAGGATAATTAGGCAAATTCGTGCTGATAAAGAATATTCTGGAAAGAAATATGCTGAAAAATGGTCAAAATTTGCCCCCGAAGGGGATTGTAAAAGAAGTATATGTTTTTATAGATTTTTACCTGCTGAATCCGAAAATCACCCTTAGAAAGTTCTAAACCTTTGGGAAAGGGTTGAAAAACCACCCTTAACTCAGAGACACCGTTTTCAATAAACAACAGTAAAATATGATAAAATTATGTAAATAAGAAATGTTTACACTATAATTTAATAAATTAAGGTAACAGTAATAACAACCGCATAATTTAAATCACGATTACGACCCTTGCAGTTTAAAAAACTACCCCCTCATACATCAACACTTATGCCAAAACCCCAAAAAGTTATAAAATGTCAATATATTGATACATAACAAAGCAATAATTAATCCTTTAAAAATAAACAACGTTTACCACTACTGTGAAAATATCGGCCACCCCTAAATATGTTAAAAAACCACCCCTAAACAACCAAAAACGAAAAAAAACTTAAAATGTCATGGACTAAGATTCTAATGTTTTTGTTAAAGAGTTATCCCTATTAATAACAAATAAGCAAATATTGTTATATCCACCAATAACTCAACAACCCTTAATCATGATCAGAAACTACCCCTATATCATCCCTAAAAAATTACCTCTGAAGTTACAAATTAAAAACCAAATTATTTTACTATTTATGACACTTTAAATACATGTTTGATATGGTGATAATCAATTTATTGCAATCAATAAAGAAAACACATAAAATATATATTTAAACCTTGAAGGTAGTCTTGGGTGGTCCAATCAATAAAGATCAGGGCTATTAGATTAAACCACTGAAGGTAAGATATATTGTAGTCTAATCAATAAAGATCAGGGTTATCAGATCAAACCACTGAAGGTAAGAAACATTGTAGTCCAATCAATTATTATAAGGGTTATCAGGTCCAACCACTGATTGATTGGACAACAATGTTTCTTACCTTCAGTGGTTGGACCTGATAAACCTGATCTTCATTGAGTGGTCAACAATGTTTCCTACCTTCAGTGGTTGGATCCCATAACCCTGATCTTCATTGATTGGACAACAATGTATCTTACCTTCAGTGGTTTGATCTGATAACCCTGATCTTCATTGATTGGACAACAATGTATATCACCTCCAGCGGTTGGACCTGATAACACTGATCTTCATTGAGTGGTCCACAATATTTCTTACCTTCAGTGGTTGGTCCTGATAACACTGATCTTCATTGAGTGGTCAACAATGTTCCTTTCCTTCAGTGGTTGGTCCTGATAACACTGATCTTCATTGAGTGGTCAACAATGTTTCTTACCTTTAGTGGTGGTTGGACCTGATAACTCTGATCTTCATTGATTGGACAACAATGTATCTTACCTTCAGTGGTTGGACCTGATAACCCTTATAATAATTGATTGGACTACAATGTTTCTTACCTTCA